TAACACGACACTGCAAGATTAATACCATTATTGTATATAGTAATTAGTAAATTACTATTAGGTTCATTTTATAGATTTATTATACATATATCAATATACTTATTAATTTGTTATTTGCAAATTGGAATTTTAATGATAGTTATTTTTTTTCAGATACCACAGCTAAACACAATAGTTGTTCAAGATCTACATGTTACAGTACGAAAATCACACCGATTATAATATTTTAGTTTATTTTTAATACATTATTCATTATTTTATATCGTAGATGATGGAAAATTTAAATTCTTACCCGGTACCATATATGTGTACAAACATTCTATTAGTACACAGACGACGTTTGATAAATCCAAGAACACAGCATCGATAGCCGAATTTAATTTCAAAGTTCACATTCACATTCAAGAATGTGAAGGGTTCATGTTTGTGAGTGCCATTGAAGTTATATTCATCATAAGATTTGATTCGTTAAACTAATAAGTTATTATTTTTTTTTTTTAGATTACTGATACTAGCATTCATAAAGGAGTGAAGACTAGAAACTCCAACACTGTAGACGAAGAAAACTATTTAAGATCTGATGAAGATTTTCTATACGAAGATTTGCAAAAAAATATGTTGAGGTTTGTTACGTCTTGAAAATAGAAAAAAAGGAAAACACTAAAAACATTTCACATTAACAAATCACTGATATTTTAACACAAAAATTGATTTCATCATACGGAATTGTTTACTTGACATAGTAAATTATTATTGGTTGAAAATAAATGTCAACGATAAAAGCTTTCCAATTATGTGATTTCAAAATAAAACTACGAGCTTGATTCACACAACAGGGGATTTTTCTTAGAGCATAAATGATTTTTAATTGGAAAACGGGAATTATATTAATTACAATATACAGAATTTATGACGGCGTGACTGTGTAAATGTGTTGGTGTTGAGTAGGTAATTGGACGTCTCTCGGGGAGGGGGTAGGGATTCGTATTGACTTCTTATTAATTTTAAATTAATATTTCCTTTATGGTTAGTATAATATGGAAGAGTGTTTCATCAAATTTTTAATTAAAAACTAAGCGTGACGATCGAAACTAATTATCTTGATAAAAAACTGTGCACAAATAAATAAATAAAACAAGTTTTTCAACAGATTTTCATTCCAAGATGGTCATATTAGCACAGTCTGTCCCAGTGAAAACGAACCGGTATGGGCTTTAAACATTAAAAAAGCTGTACTATCCACGTTTCAGAATCGCATGGAGAGATTTGATATTCATCACATTGTCGCAGAGGTTGACTGAGTTTCATTTTTTTTTAAACAAAGTTTTTATCCAGTTTCGTCTATAAAATTTAATGTTTAAATTTTGTATATTATTTTCTTATAGAGAGACATCAACGGATTTTGCCCTACAGCATATACGTTTTTGAAGTCAAATGGTACGCAAATAGTGGTAGACAAAGTAAAGGATATCTCAGAATGTACCGAGCGATACCACATGCATTCCATAATTCCAACCTCACCGTACGTTTTCCAAAGTGTAAGATAAATGATGTTTTTTTCTTTTGTAATACTACAGTTATTAAAGTCTCGCTTTTAATACTTTAAATGGGAAATCGACTTAATTCAAAGTTTCTGGACTAATTGAAACATTTTTTGACGTGGWTGAATAACAATTAATTTGAATGCACCTATAACTTTTATAATAGATAATATACACTTGTACAGAAAATGCATGAATTGCATTTTATTCAGACGAGTTAGGTAGAAAATTGACATTTTGACAATAATATTTAATATGAACTTATTTTTACAAATTACAAAAATTGGATATTTCGCAAAAAATAGCAAGTTCTAGATACAAAATATCATTTTTAATTTTTATAGTTAATAGGTTATAAGTTATAAGTTGAGCTATTATGATTACRCTTGAAGCTAATAAAAAACAAAAAAACTACCTAGTATTCAATAAAGTGATATTAATTTCTATTAAGCAACTTCTTCCTATTAATGTCCAAATTCTATATTTATCAATCTGTATAGAATAAGTTATATAATAATTAATTTATCAATTTTTTGAYTGATACAATATAGAATATCTGTTTTTATTCCCATATATTACTCTAATCAAGTAGTTCGTACCTAAATGAATTTGTTAAAATAAAGAAATGAAATAATTATCAAACCCAAATACAAACAAGAAAATTATTCGAGGTCTTGTAAATGTTATTCACAAAGTATAATTTAAATAAAAGAAAATTTTTAAATTATTTAAAATCAGTGCATTTTCTTTATTGTTAATTGCTATGATTTTTAATGTTATTGGATTTAAAGGATACAATTATGATTGAATGAGCTCATAACATTCACTTCATTTTTATAATTTCTGTTGTTCTAATAATATGGAAATGTATTTTATTTTGCTTTGTACTGTATATTTAAAAAAAAAWTTCTAAAGTTATTAACATTTGAGCTTTACCCAAAATTGAGTAGTAAATATTCTAATGACTTTTGAATCAACAATAAGTTATTTAAATTTTTTATAATTTGCTTAACATGTAAGTTAAGATTTTCATATAAGTTATCTCTCTCTTTTTTTTTTTTATAATTTTTTGAATGGCAACGAAACTAACCAGATGACTATTTTAATATATCTATACTATTGGTGAATTAATTTAATAATTTTTTATACTTTAATAATTGAAAAGCTTCAAATACTGACTAAACGTGAGAAAAATGTATAATATCTCAATGATATTATTATTAATTAATAATGTACCAATACGACTACACAATACACAT